TCCATGATCTCGGAGACGGCGTCTACCCTCACCCCGTCCACGCCCCGAGACATCCAAAACCGGAGCACATTCTGGGGACATCATCATCATCATCATCATCATCATCATCATCATCATCATCATTATCATCATCATCAACAGCAGTATCAGCAGCATAAGGCATAAGCAGCATCATTGATTAAAAAGCAGAGTAGATCATCAGCATCATCAGCAACTGCATCACCAGCATCATTGCAAAAATAAATACAACAACAACAACAACAACCGCAACAACAATAATAACAACAACAAAATTTTGACAAATAAGATTATCATTATCATACACACATTATTGTGTCCACTTCCGCCAGCCTCACCTTCATCTCTTCCACCACTCGCGGATTCCTGTAGTTGAGTTTGGGTTGTTCAGGGAGGAAGGGCCGGAAGTAAAATTGTCCTCTCTCTTCATTCCAGGCCCAGGACGATCCGCCAAACACACTCAGCTGGGTCAGACAGAGGGGAGAGAAACGACATTGGTCGGACACAGGAAAGAGATGGATTTGACAGAGGAAAGAAAAATGACACGGGTCGGACAAAGGGAAGCGAAGCAACATGGGTCGTTTTAGTTTTAGTAGAGGGTTTTACGGCGCTCGCAACTGCATAAGGTCATATGAGCGCCAAGGGGTGGGTGTCAACAGAGAAGTCTTTACAGGGAATCAGACTTACTCTGCTCACCTCTCTAACTTTAACAGCACAAAGTCTGCTTCGACTATCAAGGCACCCCGGAAACAGCAGGTCACAAGAGTGTGACAAACATACAAAAGAAGTAGAGGAAATGACAATAGTAAGGATTGGGAAAGAAAAAGCAGCAGTTCCCTGTTGTAGATCAGGCACAGTTATGAGCGTGACATGATGAATCAGTCCATTCATTTACAATTCTACTGTGCATGAACGAGAAATGTCCCCCCTTTGGGAATGGCATAAAGACACTACAGTCAGTGGCACTGCCCCGGACAGACGGAAGAGAAACAACATGAGTAGAACAGAGGAATGAGATGGGCTGGACAGAGGGGAGAAAAATGACAAGGGTCGGACAAAGGGAAGAGAAACGACATGGGTGAGATAGAGGGAGAGAAACAACATGGGTCGGACAGAGACAGAGGGAAGAGAAACGACATGGGTGGGGCAGACGGGAGTGAAGTGACGTGGGTCGGACAAACGGAAGAAAAACGACTTTGAGGAACAACAACTAGAGGAGAGATGTGATAATGTTTTACATAATATCTTCAGCATGCGAAGGCAAAGCGCCTAACGACTCGGTCTCTCTTCTCTGCTGACAACATTATTGGTTTGATTCCCTTATGAGGAGTTTTTTTGTATTTTTTAAATCAAGCATTTATATTAGTCTGCTGAGACGCTGTATCACTCTCAGCCCATGTTGTCCCTGACAAGCAGGGTCGGAGCACCCTGTCTCTTTCAATGATCTAAATAATATCGATGGGGACTGAAAACATCTACATGCAATTTCATAATTTCGTCGTCGTATTTAGGTAAGTTTGTCGATGTAAAAATTTGACCTAACTGAAAGCTGAGATATTGTGCCCCTCTCAGCCCATGTTGTACCCGACATGCAGGGTCGAAGCACCCCGTCTCCTTAATGATTTAAATTTTGTCGATGAAAAAACATCTGCAATATAATTACTCCAAAGTTGTAATAAGACCAGTTAGTCCTTGTTATTGAAAGTCATCGTCGGTTTTGTCCGTTGTGCCACGATGGTAGCTTTTCTCCCTCCACGGAGGAAAATCAGGATAGCCCTGACGACCAAACTGAACCGATCCAAACCGAATCGAATCGATAGAGTCAAAGGGCAACGAGTATAAGAAACTGACCCAGTTGTTTGGCGGCAGTCTCTCCCCGTTGTCGCCCGTCTTCCCGTCATGCCACACGTAGTAGTCCGTGTAGGGTTCCTCTCGTCTCACACTCTTCTGGAACCAGGGGTGAAGGTGACTGCTGTGTCCAGGGACAAAGTCCACGATAACTTTAATGTCTGAGGACCGGTTCGGAAGTTCGCACAGTTGAGATGACTTTAACGAGGAGTAATCATATGATGGTAATATATCATTACCCCAAACACAAACACACACTCACACATACACACACACACA